TTTATACTTACCACCTAATAATTTGATTTATATACAATCGATTAAAGAAGTTTTATTCAATTATAAAGATTCAATTTGTAGATTGATTTTATACTTACGTTCTAATAGTTAATTTAAATATAATCGATTAAAGAAGTTTTATTCAATTATAAAGATTCGATTTGATTCAATTTGTAAATTAATTTTATACTTACTTTCTAATAATTTAATTTATATATAATCGGTTAGAGAAGTTTTATTAAATTATAAAGATTCAATTTGTAAATTAATTTTATACTTACTCCCTAATAATTAATTTACATATAATCGATTAAAAAAGTTTTATTCAATTATAAAGATTCAATTTGTAAATTAATTGTATACTTACCAGCTAATAATTTAATTTATATATGATCGGTTAGAGAAGTTTTATTCAATTATAAAGATTCGATTTGTAAATTAATTTTATACTTACGTGCTAATAATTTAATTTATATACAATCGATTAAAGAAGTTTTATTCAATTATAAAGATTTGATTTGTAAATTAATTGTATACTTACCATCTAATAATTTGATTTATATACAATCGATTAAAGAAGTTTTATTCAATTATGAAGATTCAATTTGTAAATTAATTTTATACTTACCATCTAATAATTTGATTTATATACAGTCGATTAAAGAAGTTTTTATTCAATTATAAAGATTCAATTTGTAAATTAATTTTATACTTACTATCTAATAATTTGATTTATATACAATCGATTAAAGAAGTTTTATTCAATTATAAGAATTCAATTTGTAAATTAATTTTATACTTACCATCTAATAATTTGATTTATATAATCGATTAAAGAAGTTGTATTCAATTATTAAGATTCAATTTGTAATTAATTTTATACTTACGAACTAATAATTTAATAATAATTTATAAGGATTATAATCTATCAATATAAAATAAATATATTAAAAGTTTATACTCACGGGATGAAGTTTCCGTATTTCTTGATGGCAATGGGATATTCGAGATTGTTGGAGGAGGCAAATTGGTCGAAGTAATAGCACTATTTGGAACTACTGACTTTTTCACAAAGCATTTTTTATAAACTTTGGCGAACTTTCGAAGTATCCACGATCTATTATCGTTATTCTCAGCCAATTGTGTTTGTGCAACATCAACTAATTCTTCTAAACCAAATTCATTAGCGATATCTAAAACGCCACGGATTGTAGATGCATCAACATTATTGAATAGAACTATGCCACCATAAATATACCTATATAATTTAGTAAAATGTTACTTAAAATTGTGTTCAATAATTGTCAGGTATGAATTTTTTTTTTTTTTTTTTTTTTTTTTAGTTAAGATTAAGGTTAGAATTTAGAATAAACAATTTTCAATATAACATACTTAATAATAATTTTAAAATTATCAGCAGAAATATGGGGCATACTGATTTTTTTAACATTCTTGCTGTCGTAACTTGTTTTAGTCAATTTTTCACGAAGATAAAGACATCGAGAATTCAAAATAATTTCATGTGCCTTGAAAATTTGACGATATGGTTTTTGACCAACTTCAATCACCACATCATAATCTTCGCTATTTTCAAGAAGATTTGTTAGATCGCTAGAAAGCTTCTTAAAGAGCTCAATGGCCATATTACGTAATAAGAGTTAAAGAAGTTAAGGCGGAAGAAGTCAAGTACGGGTACATGAAATACTTATTGTGCATACCCTTTTTGGATTTGTACCACTCGCAAAATAAATGCACACCGTATGTACGTTATGAAGGTCTCCGGTGACATTCATCAAATTCTTTTACAGCTGTTTTCAAAAAGGTGTGAACAACTATCTCCATATATCTATGTGGGAAATCGAAGAATCGGGAAATTCTGATTAGTAAAAATTGAACGCCCGATTAGCGCTGGCCTTGAAAATTCCGAAAATCTGGATTTCTCGAGATATAGTGATCTACATCTAATCACACTAGGGTTGGGCAAAGTAATTTATTAAGTAATCAATGCTTATTTTTTATCATTTAACTAATATTAAGTAATATTACTAATGTTAAGCAAATTCTTACTTATGATGATAACGGTAAGAAATGATATTAATTAAAGCTGAGATTAACTAAAAATAGAATTATTGTAGAATGACTTATTAATACTTAATGCTCAAAAATTAGATAACATTAAGTAAAATTAAATAAGAATACATAATAAATTTGCCCATCTCTAGTTCACACCTTCTTGAAAACAACTATTATTTGTTATTTTCTTTATAGTTGATAATTTTATATTATCTACAATAATCATCAACATCAATAACAATATCAATAACAACAGCAAACATAAACAATATAAACAACAATAACAAATACATCTTGAATAACAATAGCAGCAATAACAGAAACTACAGAAACAAATACAACAATTATATAATAAAGTAGCAAGACCTAAACTTAACCTCTTCTTTGATTGGTTAGCAAACTTTCTAATTATTAAAGAAATGTAAAATTATATCAAATTTCAAACAAATATATTATATAAATTGTTTAACTTTTTTAAAGAATATTTGTATAGTTTTTATCTAGAAAAAACTATTAGAGAAGTAATAAAGAATTGTTATGTACTTAAAGTTAATTTTTATCTACTTATTTATTGAATAGTTAGTATTAAATCAAAATTTTTTAACTAACATTATTTAGTAACATATAACAATATCATTACTTTTGATATATTATATTTTATAAAATAAATTAAAAAACTTATTAATAATATTAAATTTAATAATTATTATTTTAAACTATACTTTTAGAATTATATATATTATAATATTAAGGTTTAAAAATAAATTTATTATATTTTAATTAAATATTTTTTTTATTAATTTATAAATTTATAAAAAATATTTAAATTATATAGTTTTTAAATTTTTTTTTATTATACAAATTTAACTATACAAACTTAATTAATTAGTTTTTATAACCTAGTTAGATTAAAATTTACAAAATTTTAAAAAAATTTTCAAATATACTTAATATCTGTGTAAGTTTTTTTAAAAAAAATTATAAAAAATTTTATATGTTTTTTATATATACAATTTTTTAAAAATAAAATTAAAAGTCTGATTGTTAAATTACTTTCAAAATTTTTATATTATGAGAACCAATTTATCAAGTTTGTATAATCTTATATTTTGTTTATTAAATAAAAATATTTTTAATATTATTTTATATATAAGATATACCAACTTTTCTCTGTAGATTACTTGACCAAAATTTGTTAAGAAGCAAAACATAGGAAAACCACAAAACCTACTAGAAAACAATATTTGGTCTCTTAACAAAAGAGGAAAAGCAGCAAAATTTATACCTAGCTAAAAAACAAGAACACAAGTAGAAAAGCTTAAAAGCAGCACAGCTTAAAAAAATTAAATATTTTAATGAAAACAAAAATTTTGTAGAAATTTTAAGGAATTCTTATAACCTTGATGTAAAAATCAATTTAGGTTACATAAAGAGTATGGAAAATAAATAAAGTAAACAAACAGATATGTGTAATAAGATAGCTCACTAAAATATAGCATGTGATATAGCAATAACTAAACTAAACTAGCTAATGGCTAAAGCATATTAAAGGTATAGAAGACAGAAATCACAGATATATAAATTGCAAAATATTAGACCAAGTTCTCAAAATACCAACAAGAAGTTCAAGTAATATAAAGCATATTATAAAAGATTTAGCAATTTATGACCCAAAACACATTACACTACAGAACTTGCTAGTATATATTCAAATATTAGAAGCCTTGAGAATAACAGAAATAAGCTGACTTAAAGAAGGAATAATCAATAAGTAAACAGAAAAGTTAAGGTCAATAAGTTACAATCTAAACTTATTTGAATATGGTACAAATACAAAAGAAGAAGGAAAAGTATATCAAAAAGAAAATAAAAAAAATAAGATGAGAAGTTTAATTGAAACTAATAAGACAGAAAAATATATCAATAGAAAGCAAAACCAAGAAGAAAGAAACAATCCTAAAGAGTTCAAGCAGGAATTAAAAGTACTAGAAGAGCAAATGAAAGGGCTTAACATTAACACACCACAACATCAAACAAATCAAACTATTAATAATTCAGAATACAAAAAAAAAATACTAGTAAAAAGCAAAAAGATAAAATTAAAAATCATAAATATAGAAATTTCAAAACAAGAAGATAAAAGAAACAGTAAAGAAGACAAAACAATGTTTCTTACAGGTTCAATCAAGCATAACTATTGGTCTTCAGATAATTATATATATAATAAAAATAAGTTCTTCAAAGCAAATATGCTAACATATGCTCTGCCAGAAGAAACCAAAGAAGAAAAAGTAAAGTATGTCTAGTGGATTCTAGGAAAAAATCATCACATTAAAACAGTCAAAGAGGTATTCAAAAATGGAAATAATTAAATAGAGGTAGATTTTGATTATGAGTATAGTAAAGACATAACAATGAACAGAATCAAGAGAAAAAAAAGAGAATGGCTAAAACTCATACTAGAAGAAACCAAAGACAAAACTCAAAATATAGAAAATATAGAGAGCATAATACTAAGAGAAAAAAAGAAGAAAGTACAAGATAAATAGAAACAAAGAAGGATAATAAAATAGAAGAGTCAAATATTAAAGTTAGAAAAAAGAAAGAAGAAGAGCACAAGAATACAAGTCAAGCAAAAGTAGAAATTAAAAATACAAGAATCTTTTGAACAAAAAAAGACTTGAAAGCAGAAAACTATCTAACAATTTGGGACTTACTAATAAATATCAATATAGAAGAGGTAGAACATATGTGCAAAAGCATTAAAGATGCCAAAATAAAACAAATCAAGAGGTCCAAATACAAAGACTTGGCAATAATATATACTAAGGATTTAAAAGATGAAAACATTCTATAGGTCTTGCCAATTGGTACACATAAACTAGCAAGAGTGTCCAAAGGCAATAAAGATTATAGCTTATGAGATCAACACAGTCAATTTATATCAAATTTGCTGGAGCTTCTTAAAAATATATCTGAAGTGCTACTATTGTGATGCTTAAGAAAAAAAGATGCTAAGTTAGTATACATACTAATAAACAGAAATAATAATCAAAGAAGATCTACAATAATTACCTTTGCAACAGAGAAGAAGATGAATATAGCATAAACTAAACCAATAAGATTTAATAACCATTTGCAATTTTGCAAGATGAGACAAAAAAGAGGAAGCAAAAAGAAGAAGAATTCCATTTGAGAAGTGTATAACTACACATGACATAGACGCAGACTCAAATACAGAAGTGCATAAAAACAAGGAAAATGAGAAAAGAGAAGACACAAAAGAGTTTAATAAAAATAAAAAGAAGTAACATATATATTCAACAGAGAAAGAAGACTCACAAACATAAAACCAAGACCTTTTGAAAAAAATTCTTGAGAAATTAGAAAAACTAGAAGTACAACAAAATAAGACAAAGTAAAAGATGAAAGAAGACCTTGCTAACCACTTCTAACAGCACCATAGTTGAACTAATAAATGTAAACCTGAAGATTGAAGAGTTCTTGTATAGTGAAAGAAGAATTTTCAAAGAAAAAAATATAGATACATCTTCTGACTATAATAGGAAAACAAAAAAAAAAGAAAAAAAAAAGAATGAAAAACATAAAAACAAGACATAAATATCTGAAAGAAAAATGAAAACAAGAAAAGAAGAAAATAAAAATTATATGCCACAATGTTAATGAACTTAAAACAAGAGGATAGAAGGTGAAAAATCTTCTAGAATGAGCAGAAAAAGAAGAACTCATAATAGTAGGAATAATGGAAATGAATATTACAGAAAAAGAGGAGAAATTTCTACTGTATAGTTATAATACACAGTACAAGAGATATTGAACCAGTGCAGTAATAGACAAGAAAAAAAGATTAAACATAGGAATACTGATAGATGAAAAGTGGAAAAAGTATATAGGAGCTATTAAAAGAATTAGTAAATATATGCTAGAGGTGAGATTATACTTTAAACAATTAGAGTTAGTAGTATTAGGAGTATATATTCTATTAAATGACAAATCAATCACAAGAAAATTCAGCAAAGAATTATAGAGATAGTAATGAACAGAAAAAGATATATAGAAATAGTTGTACTAGAGAATTTTAATTATACAGTAGATAACATATTAGATAGACAACATCCACAAACATCAAGCTACAAAAGACTACTAATATTTAGCTGGCTCAGA